CCTGCCAGGAAATGCTGACGCATACAGCTCAAACCTGGCGTAGCGCCGCTCTGGCAACATCCCCGTTCTCCCGACTCAGCTTCCCTAAAGACTATAGGGGATTTTATTTTTACTTTTTAAAGAATTTTTATTGTAAAAAGTTTTACTCTGGATATTACGTGAGAGCAGGCTTATTTAAACAAGGGGCACAGCTGGCACCTAGTGTCAAGAGACTTTGTAAAATGCTGAAGCACTTCAGCCCATTCACTTTTGTCCATCTCTTTCCATCTGACTACAACAAGGATCTATAATGGAGTAGACACACAGCATTTATGGAATAAACGAACATAGTTTTATGACCTACATGGTAATACAAAGGGACCTGCTGTATTTGCAATGCCACAGACTCTCATCATCCTAGCTTATACCCCCTTGCTAAAAAGGTGACAGGTGCAGCAATGTGGCTCTTTCGTGCACAGCAATTCAGAAATATGAATTTACAAATGACCTTGGAGAACTATTTCCAGTTATTCAAAATGACACTCAGTTGACTGCTAATACACAGCCGCAGGATCGTATAACACTTCCGGCTCCTTCAGAGACCACCAAAATAGCACTTCTAAAGTATAATATTCTAATATGCTGTAGATCATTTTGGAGCTACAAAGAGACATTTTTCCTCATTTGCACAGTAGAAAAATGCACAAGACAGGTATTTCAAAAAATTAAGACAGCAGCTATGCTGAAATGTGCCCTGTGGACACAAAAGCACAAATGGGAATATATTTCACAGACATTTTTCTACCGAAAGAAAAGTGCTATGCTAAGTTAAATGTCTTAGACTCCTAGGAGAGTCTCTCTTTTACCTCAGACAGGTTTTGTCAAGTTTTATCCCTAGACAGAGTGCTGTGCTCTCTCTTCGTTGATTCTAGCCATAGTGTCCTTGGCTTTTTTCCTGATATGGATGCTATTTCAAGCCAGTTTCTCCAAAATAAACTGCAAAGACCGTGCCTCCTGCCCAAGCAAGCAAGCAAAGAACCAAGTGGGATAATTTCAAAACAGCAACCCTAGGTCCTCTCCTCCATCCCTGCCCAATTATTCTATTGTAAAAATTTAGTCAAATAGGCCGGCGCCGCGGCTCACTAGGCTAATCCTCTGCCTTGCGGCGCCGGCACACCGGGTTCTAGTCCCGGTCGGGGTGCCGGATTCTGTCCCGGTTGCCCCTCTTCCAGGCCAGCTCTCTGCTGTGGCCCGGGAGTGCAGTGGAGGATGGCCCAAGTGCTTGGGCCCTGCACCCCATGGGAGACCAGGAGAAGCACCTGGCTCCTGCCACTGGATCAGCGTGGTGCGCCGGCCGCAGCGCGCCAGCCGTGGTGGCCATTGGAGGGTGAACTAACGGCAAAAAGGAAGACCTTTCTCTCTGTCTCTCTCTCTCACTGTCCACTCTGCCTGTCAAAAAAAAAAAAAAAAAATTTAGTCAAATAGTGATGAGTTAACAAGGTCTACTGATTCATTCATTCCTTCCATCAACAAGTATTTATTAAGCACAAGTTTAGGTGCCAGAAGTTATCCAAGGCACCGAGGACATGGTCTAGGATAGATGTTGCAGACTCTGTTCGAGGAGCACTTTTAGTGTGCACAGGCAAACAAGAAGAAAAACAAAGGAAGTTAGAAAAGATGAGGCTAGAGCTATGAAGGAAACAATTTAGACAGTGCAGTAGAGAATACTGTGGATACCCTATTCTGAAGGGCAATATGGTTTACCTGATTCCACTTTCTGGTTCCTTGCATTGTGGCTTATGTTCAATATCAAAAAGCTTCAAAGAGTCAAGCCTTTTATTTATATTAAATTCTAAAAGCAAATGATAAGCTGAGTTTTTTTTTTTAATTGGCCACTTGCAACCACAATTTAAAATCTGCATGAGAAAATGAAGGGGAAAATGTTTCTCCATATGTCCACAGAAAATGAATTTTAAAAATAGTTTTAAAAATTAAGAATATTATGTAATATTGCTTTTTTGACACTAACGACTTAATTTGAAAGTAAAAGCCATTAATTCTGAGAGAAATATTCTGTCTTAATAATGCATTTCTTTCCACAAACAGGAGAACCCTGCGTATAAGAAATATATACAGCCGCTATTGCAAAGTTGGAGATCCAACCTATGAAATGACCAATACTATTCAAAAAGCAAGCAGCACCACTCTGTGATCACGGTACTATGGCACATATAGAAAATGCAAATCTTAAATGATAAATGTACTCTCTTATTCATTATTTTTTAGATGCAGCCTGAAGTAGTATCATGAAACAGTATCTGATTTATCTCAATACAATCCATAAGAGAATAAAACAGGGAGTAAATGATCACTGAAGCTGGTCAATGCCTAGGTGTGTGGGTGTTCATGACATTGTCCTCTACTTTTGCTTATGTTTGAAATTTCCCAATAAATAAAAATAAATAAATAAAAAAAAACCACCCATTTATAGCATCTATTTGTTTAAATACCAAGATTTTGCTTTTAGATCTACCAAAAGCCAAAGGCTCAGTGTTTACAACTTGCATCTTTAGTACACACTTGTCCTCATGTCAGAAAGCACACACAAAGCAGCAGGGGAAGCCGGTGCTCGAGACTGCCTACGTCCCATATCAGAAGGCCTAGGATCAAGTCCTGCTTCCACTTTGGATCCAGCTTCTTGCTGATGCGTGTGGGAAGCAGCAGATGATGGCCCAGATGCTTGGGTTCCTGCCACCCATGTGGAAGACCCAGATGGAGTTCCGGGCTCCTGGCTTCCACTGACCCAGTCCTAGCTGTTGTGGGCATTTGAGGAGTGAACCACTGGATGGAAGATCTGTCTCTTCCTCTCTTTCAAATAAATAAATAAATCTGTTTTTAAAAAAGAATTTCTTTTAAAAAAAAAAAAAAGATACAATCCTCTAAAAATGCCTATACATAGTATAATCTAAATAGAATACAGATCTCTAAGAATGCAAGTATCGGGCCAGCGCCGCGGCTCACTAGGCTAATCCTCCGCCTTGCGGCACCGGCACACCAGGTTCTAGTCCCGGTCGGGGCACCAGATTCTGTCCCGGTTGCCCCTCTTCCAGGCCAGCTCTCTGCTGTGACCCGGGAGTGCAGTGGAGGATGGCCCAAGTGCTAGGGCCCTGCACCCCATGGGAGACCAGGATAAGTACCTGGCTCCTGCCATCAGATCAGCGCGGTGCGCCGGCCGCAGCTCGCCAGCCGCGGCGGCCATTGGAGGGTGAACCAACGGCAAAAAGGAAGACTTTTCTCTCTGTCTCTCTCTCACTGTCCACTCTGCCAGTCAAAAAAAAAAAAAAAAAGAATGCAAGTATCATAAAAATGAACTCTTCCACAGTGAAAATGATTTAAAATTTCATAAAAACAGACTTAAGGACCCAATTATAATCAAGCTGCATTTTTCACATTATTTTAAATTTATCCAGCTAGATAAAACACTCAAAATTAAATGCTGGTAGATAAACAGCAAAAACATCTTAGCTGGCTACTTTTCCTAATATATAAATAAGCATTCCATTGTTAATAATTCATTTGAGAAGATTTACCAAAAGTGATTTATCTCTAGTAACCTGGGTAAGAAAAAAACTTCAAAAGTTTTTACTTTAAGCACTTGGAACAACTAGTGTTATTCTTATTTCCACACTTTGGTTTTACCTACTTTTTTCCCCCAAAGATTTATTTATTAATATGAAAGGCAGAGTTAAAGAGAGGCAGAGGCAGAGAGAGAGAGATCATCTGCTGGTTTACCCCTCAAATGACCGGAATGGCTGAAGCTGGGCCGATCCAAAGCCAGGAACTGGGAGCTTCTTCTGGGTCTCCGACATGGGTACAGAAGCCCAATGACTTGGGCCTTTGTTCCTCTGCTTTCCCAAGTACATTAGCAGGGAGCTGGATGGGAAGTGGCGCAGCGGGGACTCGAACCAGAGCCCATGGGATGCCGGCACTGCGGGCAGAGGCTTTCCCCACCATGCCACAGTGCCAGCCCCCATTTAACCTACTTTACGTTGACCTTACTGGCTAAACAACATATAACTGGTTGAGCTTTATTTTTGTTTTTAGGTAAACATCCATCCATTTCAAAGAGGAGCAATGTTCCAAAATGATAACCTTATACTAGTATACTGATTTACTGAAACCACAGAAATCTGTCAATAACATTAACGGATCTTAGTTTGCAGATGGAGACAACTGAGTAATTACAGCTTCCTGGCTGTTGGTTATTCGTCCAATCTTAAATGTCCAGACGGACCTTCCTTTCAGGGAGGAGCAAAGAAGGGGTAACACAGGCCCAGGCATGCGCCTCGGGTCCTACCCCACCTCCCCGCGCTTCCCTTAGAAAGCAGGCAAGCAGTTCTCTGCCATCCTTTTTATAAAATATTCTGGCAAACTAGAAAGCCTCACTGTAATTAACATAATTCTCCCTGTGAGTAACTTTCAAGAAATAGAATCAAATCAACTATGCAAAATATGACCACGGTGAAACAAACAAAAGCACCTACATTTCCCTAACTGTTCCACAGCCTTCATTCACTGCGGTTTATTTCTCCAGCTCAGAAATAAACGTAATGGTGGTGATAAACGCACTTGTCAGTAACCACCGCACATGAGCAGAAAGTGGCGGAAGAGTCATCTTGTTCTTGTGCTTACTGAACACAGAGCTGAAACAGTGATCCTATTTGGAGCTATGACAACTGAAGAAAACTCTGTCATCTTCAGCAGCGTCCTAGTTTCAAAAATTTGTCACACTGCATGTTACCATTCAAATAGGCAGTGTTTTGGATCCAATTCCACCTATCCGTGCTGCAGTGACACAGCGGAGCCCCTATAAAGTGCAACTCAAAGTTCCACGGGGTCCTCTCACATCAAATATGAATGTGCTATGGGCAGTATGTTTGGGAACAAAAAACCAACAACGCATACTTTAGACAAGAGATGATCTTCTCCTGTTAAGTAATAATAACCAAGAAATACAAACCTAGTTTTCATATTTTACTTTTTATTAGGATTTTTTTTCCTGGTAGACAGTACACTTGGGAATTATACTGTACCAGGTATAAGAAGTAAGATTTCTACCACAGGGACATTTGTATTCAGAATCCAATATAAATATTTCTAGTCAGACATCTCCATGGCTACAGATATTTGGTTGCTTGATTTATATGCATAGAAAGAAACAGTTGTCATAACTGTAAGAAGCAGTACTTAACAAGTACTTTTAAATGATTGGAATAGTTTTCTTTTAATATTACAATACTGCTTATCTGTTTGGAAACTAGGTCACCCTACATGATGTTTTGATTTTTCTCAAAGGCATCATGAGTATTCTGCTTATTCTTTCATTCCTGTATTCTTATAGCCTTCTAGTTGAGTTAGGGATGATTTTATCAGAAATCATTTTAGCACTGTAATAATTATAAAAAAAAAAAAAAGCTCTGTTAAGGGTAGATTATATCCATAATGATTTTCAGACTTTTTATAAAAAAGGTATCTGGAGACTCAACAGGCACATGCATACTCAGGGTGAAGGGACAAAACAGGAGGGGCCTGGAAAAGCACACAACGTCCTTCTGGTCCTCAATACCTTCAAATAAATACAAATATTAAAAAAAAAAAAAAAAAAGAATCCCACACTATGAATTCAAAAAAAAAAAAAAATCTCTGCCATTTCCTGGGGAGCCAGTTTCCAGAAACTTCTCTCAGGGTTGAAGATCACTCATCTGTCTTCCGAGCCAGTCTGCAAAAAGTCCAGTTGTGCTCCACTGTGTTCTCATTGGCCCGCTCACTCATGTGGTGCACTCGGGTGTTGCGGATTGTGAAGCCTTGTTTTGTAATGTATTCCATCAGGTGGACCCGCAGAGACACTTCCTGGTGATAATCACAGGGTCCAAAAGTAAAGGACACCTGGCAGTCTCGGGTGTCCATCATGTGCTTATTCCACTTGGTGAAATAATTGGAGATGCCTTCTAGTAAGGAGTGGACCTTGGTGGTGATGGTTAACTGGGTGATGATGACAGCCACTGGATTGGAGTACTTAGAAAGCTTCCGAGTACTAGACAGCTCCACAACTTCTTCAAAAGTATCCATAGGATACAAAGGCTTTGGGTCATTGAGACACTGAATCAAGGGCTCAATCTGGTAAAAATCAGCTTCTTTCCGAAGCAGATCAAATTCCTTAAAATCCAGGGGTAAGGTCAACTCTGAAGTTCTTAAGAAGTTGAGCACATAGCGGAAAAGAGGTCCATCTCGATCGATGAAGTAATTGCCTTGAGGATCTCTGGCTGTGGGGAAGTCCCCCCCAAACATAGCTCCAAGCATAGAATCCGGGTAACGCGTCAATGTGGTGAGAGACGTTGTGTACAAGTGTCCACCTACATTTAACGTGACTGGGTCAGTCATCTGAAATTTTTTAAAAAATGATCAGTCATCTGAGATTTTCAAAATCCTAACTTTGACAACGCAAGAAAATTACTAGCAACAAGCAAGCACAAGGTTCCTTCAGGCTGGGGGCGGGGTGTGTGGGGTGGGAAATTCACTCATTCTGTAACGCAAAACGGCGATTCTTGCAGTGACAAACCCACCCAGGTGGAGGGATCTAATACTTGCCTTCCGCAGGAAAAAGGAGAAATACAATTTTTGAGAGACTGATTGTTAGAATGGAGGGCGTGACTTTCAGAGCTACATAGCTTCCAGCCCCAGTATCTATGCAGTTTGCAGGTCAAGGGGATGTTACAAGACAGGAAGGACCAAACTAAAATATAATTCATTTAAGTTTTTGCCTGATTTACAAAAAAAGTTTGCATTTTTCTTAATATTTTCTTTATAATTTAACATTTGATAAAAATTAAAATGCTCTTGATAAAGACATCTACTTTCAGTACTTCTTTGGGCTTTTCTCCCTCAAAAAAAAAAGCGAATAAATCATGAAATTTATTTTTTTTAAAAATCTATGAAGATCTAATATTGATAATTTTTTCATGGAATTAAGTTCCAAATAAGAAGTTAAAATGTACAGTTAAGTCAACACAATCTAGATATAAAACCATCACATACCCTCAAGCTAACTGTAACTTTAAAATTTATAATCAGATAGTGTATTTACTTTTGTAACATTATAATGTTGCAATACAGCCTTTAGTTATGAGAAGCAAGCTGCTCTAAATAATATACCTTCAGTTTTAGAAAACATATTTAAGGGAAAACAAAGACAGACAGATACACTTCAGGTCCTAGGCAAGTAAAATAGTTCTTACCAAAGGAAGAGAAAAACAGGGAGACACAGGCACACCCACAAAGCTGCAGAAGCACAACCTCAACTGTGAGGTCCTCCACACCATTATCTCTAGACCCTTTCAGTCGTCACCACTCCATGAAGGACGAGTTTTAAAAACATGCTCCAGATATCAGAAAGCCAGCTCTCAAGGAAGGAATTATAAAAAGCTACTTAAGAGTTCAAATTGAGTTTGCCTGTAATAAAACACTACGGAAAGCAAAATACCAAAAAAAAACTGCATCTACATGAGTTCAAAGAAGGAGGCTGCATGCACAAACTTTTAATTTTCATTCTTATAAAGATATACCTCAGACTACATAGGGAAAAGACATACAAGACAATAACCTGCCGACCTTCAACACGCGTGTGCGGGAGCCACTCACCATATAGCCCCATTCTCCATTATCCATCTGCTCCAGCGCTGCGTCTTCAGGAGCCCAGGTGCCAGGCAAACTTCCAGAGGAGAAAAACAGACATAGATTAGCACACTACAGCCACAAAAACAGAGAACATTGGTTTTCCCACCAAACAGAACAGGCCAAACGCCCAAAAAACTCATTTTTGCTCAACTAAAATCTATTATATGGCAAAGATCTGGGGAAGAAAGCATTCCCCAAGGCCTTCGAGGAACATTTACCTAAGAGACTGACCTTCTTCACAGAGAAAAACTAGCCTACACTAGAGGAGGAAGGGCCTAGGAAATAAACTGGTCATTCAAATCCTACCTCTCTTCTCCAAAATCCCAATTTTTAGGATTTCTGTAGAAGAAAATTATGACAGTCTACAACCTTATCCTGGTACAAATCTTAGGAAGATTTTTAGTTAAGTTAAGGTTATTTGAGAGAAAGGGAACGCATCCAAAATCACAAACCTCCCAGACAACCACTGTTCCTTTTTAAGAGAAACATTTCAAAATGGTATTCAGTTTATAACATAAAAAACTAATTATACTTTTAATAGTGATATATTTATCATTGTACAATAATCAAAATAGAACAATTTAAATGCCAAAGCACTGGAGCACAAGATGAGGCACAAAGAACCTTCTAGATGGGGCTGGGAGTAGTGAGCCAGCACTTATGGAAAGCCAGCCTTAAGACACTGATAAACACTCAGATACTAAGGATGCCAGTTTGAATTTATTTTTATCTACAATTCAAAAGCACTTAAACAAACAGCTTTAGTCAGTTCCCTCTCACACACTTTATTCCCCAAATCAACTTGCAAAGCAAACTGCAGAGCAAATTTCAGAAGCTCTGGCAAGAGATGGTAAAAAACACGGACTTGTGGGTATTCATCCAGGAAAAGCATTGGCTGTTTTCATGTGGTCTTTGAACAGATCCACTTTTCCCACTTTTAGAGGAATCTGGCACACAATTCCCAGAACAAGCCCCGGCTGCAGAAGATCACAAAGGCTCTTTCTCAAAAGGTCACTCAGGCATGTAGAGAACATTTGCATAGCACAGCAGGGGCTGAAATCAGAGCCTGAAGCCTCTCGTTCTCTACCTTGCAAATCCTTCAAAGCGAAGCGGCTCAAATGTGGACCAGTTTTTATTCTTTCCACTCAGCAGCTGGATACAGAGAGGCCTCCACATGCTACAGAGTGTGAAATGGAACAAGTGTCCAATTCAGGCAGTTGTGACAACCTTTCCTTCCTCTGACTTGCTTCATAAATCGCATCTGAAGTAAAGACAACCGAGCAATGAAGCTTTACCAATTCGTCTTGCCAGCATCTGATTCAGTCACTGATAATAACAGATCAGTCGCTGTGCGATTTAAAAGGCCAGACATCCAAACATTCTGGTAAAATGTTCATCTTTGGCATTCTGCAATCACCCAAAGTATTCACTCCTGGCAGCCTCCCTAACCAATCAGTCAATCAACATCTATGTTAAGTCCACCAGGAGGTGGAAAATGGTTATATGCATTGTAGACACGCAGAAATAGTTAAAGTTCACTCCTTGCCCTCATAGGGATTTCAATCTATAAAAGAAGTCATATGCAACAACTGAAGTACAGAAGAGACTTCAAAAGTGCTACATAGACGAACCAGCAGAGGTCTGCAGGAGGAAGAGCAACGGGGAAATGGGGACCCCTGGCAAGGACTCACTGTGGAACCATCACAGAAAATTCAGACATCCTTTCAGGGATTCTAGAAAGACCAAACAACCGAAATATGGCTGGGAAAGTCTTCTCCGCTCACAACTTTCCTAATCCAGTAAACAAGCAGGGATCACCCCATCATCTTAGAAATGCAAAAGAGAGACCCAGGCAAGGCTGGGTCTCCCCACCACCGGGAGATAAGGGAGTAACTTGGGTTTTCCAACTCCTAGTCTATATCTTCCCAGAACTCCCCTCCTGGGGTAGGAACTGACAGAACACAATCCAAGAAACAACAAATTGGGAAGGATTAACTGTAGACTCCACCTGCTGGGGATTTATTGACAACGTTTATAGTAGAGTTCAAGCAAACTAAGCAGTCACGATGGGTTTGTAAAAATTCCTGCGGCAAATAAAACGGCAAGCAATCTACTCACAAGTGTGCATATGGCTGCTGCCCTGTCTTAAGTGACATAAACAACTCCAACCATGAATATCCAAATGGTTAAGTGAGAAATGGTCAAACAAAGGCAAGGGGAAAAACTGATGTCAATGTTACAACTGGTACACAAGGTCTGTCCACTATTTATCTTTTTTTAAAACTGCTAAATCAGAACAACATAACTTCATGAACAAACATAAACAGCAAATTAGATAATGCCCCCAAATCTGTTCCACAGCAGAAGCCAAGGTTCCGGTACAAAGTTATTATGAAACCTCAAGTTTAATAATTCAGCAAAGCAGTCATTGGAATTTATATAAGCCCATTTCTTAAAAAGCACCTAAAAGCCTTCCTATACTTTGTATAAGATGCATCTAAACAAAAAAAGGAGCAAAGTCACTATTACTCACTTCAAATAATAACTGTTTTGAAAATGCCAAATGGTTCATTAAAGAACTCAAAAAAAACTGGAATTGATTAGTTTAAAATTTTTCTCTGCTCCTTGCTCTAAACATCCTCTGTACACAGATACACAGGTAGAACAAGACACCAAAAGAAAAAGAAAAAAAAAAAAAAAGGCAGGACAATTCCTGGTTATCCAATAGCTGGGAATCAGGTTCTGAATTCTGAACTGCTGGCTATCAGACACAATGCAGATGAATGAAATAAAGCATAATCCAGAAGAATTTCCGGAAGAGCTTCAATCTCTTCTACTAAGTCATTTTCCAGAGCTGCTAACAATTAGAAAATGATTCATTTGCTTTTCATCTTCTCTCCCTTCTGGCACAGTCTCCACTGGAGGGCTTAATGAGAAGTTAAATGACCACAAGACAGGCGGCAGAAGGAAGAATTTGAAACGGGCATCAAATGGACCTGTTTCACTGGTGAAGGCAAAGAAATCTTTAATATTTCAGGAAACTTGCCAGGAATGGAGATCATGAGGGTAACAATGGCACAAATTTCCCTTTACAGTGACTCTCCTTACTAAATATCCTTTTAAACACAGCCAAGGCAGCCGGGCACAACCAATGCTAAAGTTCAAAGTAGCCTTCTGACCTTGCAAAATCAGTTCACCTGAAAAGACCTGACCTTTGATGCAAATAAAATTCTTGTGGAAATAATACAGACCATTCCCAAAAGATTACAAAGCAGCACTTAAAATTCATCCATGTTTAAAGTTCAAAGGCTTCTGCAACTAATTCTGACAGGGGAATGTCAGCAGGTAATTCAGTTAAGAAAAACACATACTGAAGGATTTATAGAAGCCTTAAAAGAATTTACAAATTTTAGAAAGTGGCAAATGTGAAGAAAGCACAGTAAGTCAGTAACTTTAAAGACAACCTAAGAACCCCTAAGTGCCATCTGCCTCACCACTGCAAAATTGCACTTACAGGCCCAAATTAACGGTTGCGATGAACCAAATTGAACACAAACATTCTGGACTTATCATTTCTTCCACAGACTAAGAATTAATTAGCCAGGGTAAAAGTTCTACTCCTATGTAACAAGCTATACCTGGCAATATAAACCTCCAAACTCAATGAATAGCAATAAAAACCCCTACTGCCTCCTGAGTAGCTCTTTCAAATGCTTTTCTCCTGGAACCTCTGCATCTGGCATTCAATAAACTCCCTCCATCTACACTTACCTTCAAAACCGCCTTTGTACTGGGTTTCTCTGTTCGTGGAATGTGGGAGTTTGAAAGTGAAACACTTTTTATAGTAACTAGTTCATCGACATCTAAAGGACTCTTTGGGGTTAACACTCAACGTACAGGCCAGCACAAGTAGCCAGGCACACAAGGATAATGTGATTATAGTGTTAGATTATCCTTAACCATACTGCTGCAGAAACAGATTTTTATTTTAATTCTTTTCTCTCTCTTCTCTCAACCAAGTGGTCTAGAAGAAAAGAGGCCTAAGTTGAAAAGTGACCCTGCTACTTGAAAGTGTCACAAATAGTCACAAAATCATAAAATTCCCCTAAGTCTCTACAAGATAAAGAAGGATTAGCCCACCTTCCCAAAAGTAATTACACCATTTCCGCACAACACAGATCTGACCGGGGTTCTTATCTGAAGTCGGACACAGGCGGGTGCAGAGGAAAGACAACTGGCCACTGGGGAGATCCTGTATCCCACTTCTGCTCCCTTACCAACTATGAGACTGTGACTCAACCACTCTTTACACCCAGCTGTTTCTTTAGAGAAATAAGCGAGATCGTGAATATATTTGCAATACCACCTATAAGCTGGCAAGTATTATACAAATGTGAAAAGAACAGTGGCAATAGCATAAGCAAAATGTCTGCAGTAAACTGGGAAACTTGACAGTGTGAACACCAACAAGTTAGGACACTGGCATGGAGGCAGCCAAAGGAGGCCTCTGAATCTGCTTCCAGGGTCCCCGGGTCCTCCTGACCCCATAGCTCCAGCTGAAGGGCAGCGTCCAGCCTCCACAAAGACCCCCAGAGAGCGGAGCCAGAGACCTCAGAAGTAACTTCTCCAAAGCATGACTCAGGATTATCTCCGAAAGACATCCAGACACATACACAAATTCGATTTCAAATAGATGCCAAATAGCAAATTCCAAGCTACGCTGAGGACGTATAGGATTCACCCCAGTATTCCCTTGTATACTCATGCTTTGGTTAAAACATGATTTAAAAAAAATTGAAATCACAAAACTTAGGAACTGGCATCTACGGCTATCCTGGCCACTCACTCAACCCTTAGGCATCACACCAAATCAAGCTATCAGCATGCACTGTTCGTTTTCAGCCAGAGAGCAAATTCTCTCAGCCTACCAACCCCGTAGACAAAAACACGATTTCCTTTTTTCCTGGCGAACCATTGGTTCATTTGAAGATACCTCAGGCTCGGGCCTGTGCTAACTGTTATTCATCCCCAGGCTAATTTCCTATCCAGGATCACTGATGCACTAGGGCATGTGTGACAGCGGAAAAATGAACGTGCCAGGGGGATGTGAAGGAGATACCAAGGCTACCCCAAACATTCTTAGTCAAACCGGGCGATCCCAGGTCTCTCCGCCACCCAAGCCTTTCCTAACACCAAGTCCTGAAATCGGGCTTATCAACCTGTTCTAGAGCCGGTAACTTCCGCAGAATATCCGCACAGGATCTCTGTCACGGTTCATCCCCCGGTCCCACCCCCCGGCCAGCCGCCACCAGCCTCAGCCCAGCAGGTGCGGCAGGGGCTCCCCATTACCACGCCATCCATCACCTCTGACACCGAGCGTTAAAAACGCCGCGACCTACACACATGCAAGCAGAGAGAACTCGGCTGCCATCTGAGGGTCTCTTCGAAGCAGAAAATCCCAAAGGCAGGGCTCAGAAGCCCCCTGCCGTAAGCCTTAAACTAGGACAAGCGGTAGCTAATTAGCGCCACCCCCAAAAACTATCATTTTCGAGGAAACCCCGAATGTCCCGGTGCGGGCAGCGCTTCGCTGCCACCCCGCAAGCCAAGCCCCCCGACACCACCACCTGGGCTGGGCGTGGGGCGGGCGATGCTCGGGGCCCAGGCGGGGGGCGCGCGCACCGGAGCACCAAGCCCCGGCCCGCCGAACCGCGCGAGCCCGTCAGGCGGGCCCTGGAACCCCTACCCAGGCCCTTGCCGCGGGCAGCCCCGCCGCTGGCTCGTGCCAGCCCCGGGACGCGCGGCCCGGGATCCCCGCGGTCCCCTCAGCGCGGCCCCGCCGCCGCCTGGTTCCAAGGGCCCCCGCCCAGATCCTCCTCAGCCCCGCTCCCCCGGCCGCTCGGCGCGAGATTCCTCTGCCGGGCACTCCCAAGCCCTGGCCCCGCCAGCTCCGCGCCCGCCCTACTCACTGCGCGGCGGCTGCCCGGCCGGGAGACGCCGGCGGCCCGAGAGCGCGAGCGCGGGGACGAGCGAGCCCGCGCCCGGCGGCGGCGGCGGCGGCGGCACAGGGGACGACTGAGCTTGAGCCCGGAGTTGCGGCCCCAGCTGCCCAACGCGGGCGGCGCCTTCCCAGCACAGCCGCGGCGCCACAAGCTCCAGCGCCCCCTAACGGCGGAGCGGGTAGGAGACCAGAGGGCCGGGAGACAGAGGAACAGCCCGCGCAACCCTAGCCGCGCGGTCAGGCCGGCTCTACCGCAGCCCCGAAGCCCCAAAGCCCCGAAGCCCCGCCCCCGATGGACCGGTGCCCCGCCCCCAAAGCCCGAGGCCCCGCCCAGGATCCGCCCACCTCGTTCCGCCTCCGCCTCCGCCCCGAGCCTGAGGTCAGCTCAGCCCTGTGACCACGCTTTGCTGCCTCCTTTGGGCTAGCGTTTACACAGCTGTTTCTCCTCCATCTTTTCACGGACTCCCATGGGCCACTCCCCCCCCCCCAAAAAAAGGATACGGCGGCCACCAAGGCCGAGGCGCGTCCTACGGAGAGGAGAAGGCAGACCAGACTCTAGTCAACAGCTGGTAGACAAAATGATGTTGTGATCTTAGTGTCGCGAGGCGCGCGCCCGGAGGACTTGGAGAATAAGGGGAGGGGGCCTCTGCTTCAGCTGCAGTGGCGGAGGGAGGCTGGACCGCCGGCCCGTGTCCAGAGCGCTCCTGGCTTTACCCTGCTGTGGGCCACCTCTCCGCAGCGAAAGGCAGTGTCTGAAGCCCTGAAGGCTCAACAAGGTGGGGGCCAGGTGGCCAGAAGGGTGAGCCAGCTTCCGCAGACACAGCAACCTATGCAAAGGCTAGGAGGCCTGAGGAGCTCCGCCCTGGTTGAGGCTGCTCGGGTGCTGTCCCCACTTCACTGCAGAGGGTGGGGAACTGCTGAAACCTACAGGTCAATCCAAACCTGCTCATTTCCTGCTAATCAGACCTCTGTCCCCATCCAAGTGGGTGCAGTTAAGTTATACAAGTGTAACGTTGGTTGTGCCTTTTTCTTTCTAAAGATGTATTTATTTGAACCAATGGCAAAAGGAAGACCTTTCTCCCTGTCTCTCTCTCACTGTCCACTCTGCCTGTCCAACAACAACAAAAAAACCAAAGATATTTATTTGAAAGGCAGAGTTAAGAGACAGGTAGAGACAGAGAGATCTCCCATCAGCTGGTTCACTCCCCAGATAGCCTCAGTGGCTCCCAGGCCGGGCCAGGCTGAAGCCCAGAGCCAGGAACTTCATCCAGGTCTCCCACGTAGGTGCAGGGGCCCAAGCACTTAGGCCAAATGCTGCTGCTTTCCTGGGTGCACCAGCAGGCAGCTGGCTCCAAAGTGGAGCAGCCTGGACTCAAACCAACACCCATATGGGATGTCAGCATTGTAGGCGGCAGCTTAACCCACTGCATTTTTTTTTTTTTTTTGCCATTTCCACTTCGCTGGGCTAAGCACTGGTTTCAGAAACTCACCTGGGTTTCATGTCTGCATGCGCATCAGCTGGCTCTGGGGTTGAGCTTATCTCAATGTGATCATCACAGTCACATCTGATATCTGGTTTTTCCCCAAAACCTCAAATGTTTAGGTTAAATAGATGGAATATGCTTCATCAACATTATGAGTGCTACGTGGTCACATTCACAAAGACTAGGTGAGAATACATGGAAGTGTGTGTGTGAAAATCATCAGTACACAAAATAGCACACGAGGTATCCTTGTTAAAAATGCTTATTTGAAAGGCAGAGAGACAATCAGAGATGGGATCTCCCATCAAGTGGTTCACTCCCCCAAATGCCCACAACAGCAGGGGCTGGGCCAGCTTGAAGCCAGGAGCTGGGAATGCAACCCAGCTTTCCCACAGGAGTGGCAGGGACCCAAGTACTTGAACCATCACTGCTGCCTCCCAGGATGAGCATTAGCAGGAAGCTGGAATTGGGAGTGAAGCCAGGACTCTGACCTGGGCACTGTGATAAGGAATGTGGGAGTCCCAAGTGGTGTCCTAACCCTCGGCCAAATATCCACCCCCCCATGTTGTTTTTAAAAAGATAAATACACATGCAAAAAACTTTTGAAGAAAATATATCAAATTCTTCACTTACCACAGTGCTCCAGATAACACAACGGGAATGTTACTGACTTACTCCTTTTTTATATTTCCCTAGGATATATTGATATTCTATTTACAAACAAAAATATAATGAGTTTTTTCAACAGAAGGACAATATCAAAATTACCCAACTCTCAGATCTCTAAGGTTTGGTAACTCGGACTTACTATCCTCGGAAGAACCCTTTCTGTCCTCAGGGCTTCCAGTTCCCCAAATAACAACTGACAGGGACCAACTTTATCCATTGTTCTGCCAGACCAATTCCTCCACATCTTAAAGTTTTTGTCAGTGTTGTAAGTCATCTTTTCAACTTTGTATTTTATAGTTTATTGATGGTTGGCAAAGTGCAGTTGGTTTCTATATAATGATCTTGTATTGAGCAAACTTGAAGTCTCTTTTAGTTCTAATAAGTTCGTAGGCTGTCATGAACTTTCTGCAAGCAATGACCATTTGCTGTCTTCCTGCCCAGTCTTTTTTATTTCCTTTTCTTTGCTGTAGTGTGCTAACTTCTTCCAAACAATGTTGAATAGAAGTGACAGTCATTGGCAGTTCTATCTTGTTCTTGGGTGTTTCTAATATGTCAACATTAAGTGTGGTGCTTGTTGTCATTTTTGATAGGTACCTGTCTTGGGAAGCAACCGACAGAGGCCCACGTTGGGCAGATGGTAGAGAAATCTAGCAGGGCAGTCAGATAGAGTGAGCAGAGGTTATTGAAGAGGCTGCAAGAGCAGGACAAACAGAAGCTGACTGCTACTACACGCACTGTAAGCCCAGGTATTCCTGTAACAGCAGCTTCCTCAGAGTTAGGATGAGTTTGTTTTCTTGTGGTCCAATTTGTTTTCCTAGTTAGGTAATTTGCCTTTCTGGACACAGCTGGGCAGCTTTTAGTGCTGTTAGCTAGGGATCTTGCTGCCCACCAGGTGCCCTGAGCGGCCGCCACAGTACCCTTTATCAGGGTAAGGAAGCACTAGGAATAGACACACACTATGTAAAGAATTACAATCATGGATTTTTTTTTTTTTATTATTAAACCACTCATGCATTCCTGGACTAAACTCACCTTGATGATCCTTGATGATTTTTTTTTCAATATACTACTGGCTTCCATTTGTTAATATTTTACTTAGGGTTTTTGCATCCATATTTATGAATGAGGTATGCCTGCTATTTTCCATTCTAATTATTTCTTTTGTGTGATTTTGCTATCAAACTTACTTGAGCCTCATAAAATAAACTAATCAGTGTTTGGGGCTGACATGGCAAGGTGAGTTAGTCTATCACTTGGGGACACTGGCATGCCATGTGGGAGTGCCAGTTCCAGTCCCAGCTACTCTGCTTCCAATTCAGCCCCTGCTAATGCACCTGGAAAGGCGGCAGAAGATGGTCCAAGCAGTTGGGTCCCTGCCACCTGTGTGGGAGAACTGGATGGAATTCTAGACTCCTGGCTTCAGCCTGGCCCCACTCACTGTTGCAGCTATTCGGAGAGTGAACCAGCAGATGGGAGATTCCCTCTCTCTCTCTCTCTCTCTCTCTGCCTTTCAACAAATAAGTAAATCTTTAAAAAAAAAAAAAAAAAAGTCTGTTCACCAGGGCAGTTTCTCTAAGGGGGGGGCGGGTCTCTGAAGTCTGAATATTCTATAGCATTCTCCTGTAAACTATCTGAATTGCTGAGTTGAGGAGTTTAGGGTTTTACAGCGGAAGCCAACTTGGTGGCCTCTCTTTCCCAGGTGGCCTCTCTTTCCCAGGTGGCCTCCAAAGCCCTGGACTCCTGTGGTAAAGAGATGCCCAAGATGACCCTATGTGGCCATGGCCGGGCTGGCCTGGAGTGCTGTTTATGGCAGTTACAACAAGGACTTCCAGGCAGGCACCCTGGCCCAGCGGGGCACGGGCAAGGCCCAGGAGGGAAGCAGCAGTGGACAGGCTGGGCCGGCAGGAGCTGGGCCGGCAGTCTGAGTCCTCCCCGCTCTCCCCTCAGCTCCCCCCTCACTCAGGGCAGTGCATGCAGCTCCCACTTGTCAGGAAAATGTCTTCAGTGGGAGCTCCCTGGCTCCCGCCTCTGCTTGCTTCTGGAGTCACCTACAGGATGCTGTCATGGCCTCCCGAGGCGGCTGAGAAGCCTGCTCTCAGGGGCATTCCATCCTTCTCCAGCCCCTGCAGGTTGCCCCTGCAGACAGAGTGCCGGACCCCTCTCTAGGCTCAGCAGCCTCCCTTTCTCCTCCTGCTGTGTCCCCATCTTCCCCGAGTCCCCCACCTACAGCCTTACACCTGGCCTCCGGACCACCTCCCCACCGGAATGCTCCTGCTGGGGCATGAGGAGCCTGCTCCTTCCAAGCCTTGGTGTCCCGGGCATCTGCAGTGAAGGGGTTGACCACAGCCTCCCAAGGACGGCCCCTTCCCCACAATGCTGTGCTCTTTTCGTCTTCCTTCTTCCTCTTGGACGCATGGACCTCTTCCTCTTGCCTAACCCACCCTCTCTGCCCAGGTTTCTGTCCAGTTCCATCCTCTCTTCACAGAGGCTTGGCCACCTCTGTAGATTCCATTTTACACCCTAAGCCAGAAGTTCCCCACTCTGTACTTGCAGCCCAAGCACGTGCCTGGCACTGTGCCAAGTGCTTCTACCCTCTGCGCTGGTCATCTACTGCCATGCACCAGAGTGCAGAGGCTTGCAACAGCACCATGTGTTATCTTGCAGTGTCTGTGGACCGAGGATCTCAAAGAGCTCAGGGTCTCTCATGAGCTTGCAGGCCACCCGTGGGCAGGGGCTGTTGTCCTCTGAGGCCTTCCCCCACTCACACACGTGGCTTTTAGCCACAGCGTTCGTTCCCTGTCACCTGACCCTCTCCTGACAACATGGAAGCTGATGGCCTCTGAAGCAAGTGATCTAAGGAGGAACAACGGCGGAAGCCACAAGTTCCTTTATAGCCTGGCCTTGAAGGACATATTTGTGATATTTTGGTCTCACACCCATGCTAGTAGGAAGTGGGAGCCCACCACACAGGGTATGAACACCAGGAGGCAGGGGCCCTTAGGGGTGACCTGGGAGGCTGCCACCACACCCCCAACAACACCACTGAGGGCTGGCCAGCCTCGCTCTCCCATAGTACAAACCAGAAAACTGCAGCAAGAAGTGGGGAGGCCGTGGATGAAGCCACCCGGCTGGGCGCTGGGAGGGAGGTGGCAGCACGCTCCTGCCTGGCTCCCCGTGGTTTTCTCCCCCGGCACAAGCTGGCGTTTCACCGTCCACCACCAGCCTGCTCACCCCAACATGTGCAAACCTGAACTCTGTCACCACCACCCCCAATCCTTCCAGTCCCGGCTCAGCTCAGCACATGGTGCACCAGAAGCCTTGAGTCATGCCTGCTCCTCCCTCCCCCTCGCCTCCCGGTGCCAGAGAACTCAGTTCTGCCAAGTCTCCCCCTCAGCACAGCCTGCCTCCCTCACTGCCTCTCCCTCGCCATCACCACCACCGCCGCACTGGCCCGAGCCACCCATGTGTCCGGCCCAGACATCTGCAGTAGCCCCCTCGCTGGTCTCGCTGGTCCCTCTGCCCCCACACTCCCATCCGTCCTCCTGTCACCAGCATGAAGGACACAAAGCTCTGGCTGTGGCCCCCTGGCAGCGTCACACTCCTCCAGTGGCTTCGGTTGCCTTCAGGATTCAGGTCAAGCTCCCTGCGGTGGGGGGAGTGGTCTGGTTCTGCCCACCGTCCACCTCCTCCCTGTCCCTAGCCCCTCCCTCAGGCCCCAGCATCTCAGGTCACATTTCCGTTTCCAGGGCCTGTTGCCCATGTTTTCCCTTCAGAGCCTTCCACTGGACTGTTCCCTGGGCTTAGAACACTGTTCCCCAGCCCTTGACCTATCTCCACTTCCTCCACATACCATCACCTTCTCGGGGAAGCCCTCCCCGACCTTTCAGAGCCTGTCCTTCCCTGTCCTCACCTCCCTGCTTCTCAGCTGAATGGTGAGCTCCCTGAGGGCAGAAGCTGCATGTGTCTGGCTCCTGAGAGCCCCCAGGACTCTACCTGGTACCTGGCACTCGGCACTCTCAATCGCTGTGCGACTGGTGCATTCTTTCCACGTGCTGCAACCCCATGGTCAACGTTCATTTCCCCAGATGAGTCGCAAGGCCCCGTCTCTTCAAGATCTCTGCACGTGCTGTTCCCTCTGCAGGCATGCTCTTCCCTCCTCCCCCCATTCACTCAGCTAGCTCCTGTGTATTCATCAGCAACCTGCCATTGCCAGATTTGGCGAATGCAAAGACAGGAGGGACAGAGGGAGTGTTTGGCCTAGAGGGCAAGCACATATTTCACCCCGTATCTCCCACATGAGAGTTTGATACCCTGGCTTCTACCTCTGACTCCAGCTTCATGCTAAGGCGGCAGTCATGGCTCAAGGAACTGAGTCCTGCCACACATGGAGGAGGTCTGGACTGAGTCCTTGGCTCCTGGCTTTGGCCTAGCCCTGGCCACTGAGGGCACCTGAGGAGTAAACCAGCAGACAGCAACTCTGGCTGTCCTTCTCCTTCTCTCTGCCTTAAAAAAAAAAAAAAAAAGACACTTGGCAAATTTCTATTTCATCATGTAATTTTTCAGCCTAGGTAGGTCCCAGATGTTCACCGAAAACAAGCATCCTGTGTTTCATCTGGCAACCCCACAAGGAAGCAGCATCACTCCCACCTCCTTGGGTCTGCACACCCCCATCTCCCCGCTCCCAGTGCAGCCCTCCGCCCCCAGCCCACCACCTAGACCAGGACCCCCTGCCAGAGAGGGCTGTGTTTCAAGCTGTGTTGGGAGCCTCTTTTCACCTGGGACAACCTTGGCACAGGGGAGCCGGCCAGTCAGGTTTACAGAGAGGAGAAAGGAAAGAGCAGGGGTGGGGAGGAGTCAACAAGGTGGGGAAAGGAGCTGGCCAATGAAACGGAAAGAAGCGGTGGGGAGCTCCTCTTCCCATGCCATCGCCAGCCCAGGTCTGGCCTCTGGAGCCGCCCCACCCCTCCCTCCCCCTCTCCAGCCCCAGCCTCCCGGAGCACTGGGGTTTTATAAGGCAGAAATGCAAAAAAGAAAGTCTGGGTCCTTTTAGGGGATTTTTCCACAACAGCCTGTTGAGCATTTACACAAGGGCGCCCCGCGGACAGCAAGAAGGGGAAGAAAGGGAGAAGAGCGGTGAGGATGCCTTGCACACGGCAGGGCATGGGGGCTGGGGGCTGACTCTGCACTCAGATGGCTTCCCGAAGCTCCTCCCAAGCTGGGGCCAGTCTCTGGGGACCCCGGGAGGAGAGGACCCCAAAGCAGCCAACTGCATGGATTTTCTGGACCCAAGGCCCTGCTGAGCTCCCTCCCCCGATCCCGGCCAGTGGGAGACCTGCTCCACTCTCGGTGGAGGCGCTGTCTTTTCTTGGGATGTGCATGCATGTGTGTGTCCCTCTCCTCCTCCCACACAGTCTCTGTGCCATGGCGCTTACCAGCTGGGTTTTGCTTGGGGCTTGTAAAAGGCCTTCTGTGGCTCCCTACTCACTGGCTGCCTCCACTCAGAACTAAGGTCCTGAGCAGCCCGCTCCCCCTCCCTGCCTTTGCAACCAGCCAGGGTCTTTCTCCACATTTGCCCCGGCTCCCAGGCCATCCCGCCTGCCCCCACCACCACCACCATCAATACACACACACAGACAAAGGACCCTTGCAGCCCAGAGTTCCCCACACCTCCCCCAGGCAGCCACGGAGACGCTTTGGTAAGTTTGACGAGAGTATTTTTCTGTTTTATAAGGTCTTTAATTACCTGTTGTTGCACACCTTCTCTTTCATCACTTTCCAGAACGCTGCTGGAAGCCGAAGAGCCAGGAGAAGGCGTCTGGTTCTCACCAACGCTGAGCCCCTTGGCCAGCCCTAGGATGTCGCCCTCCTCCCCAGCGTTGTGACCCTGTAATTAGAACAGATCGTACGTTGTTAGCCCAGGGCCCAGACGCCCTGGCTTCCGTCTTCAGCCCCATGAGTGTCTCGTGTGCCACCTCGGACTCGGACAAGTTTCCTGGCCCTGAGAGGGCTTCTGTGTCACAGGGGAATGGAGCTGCATGAACACAGCTTCGCCAGCTACCTGCCAACGGTGTGCAACACTGCTCCAAGTTCTAAGCCCAAACCTCCTGTGCCCCCACCTTGTCAATTACACATTTCTAAAGGGCCAGCACTGTGGCACAGCAGGTTAAGACACTGGCTACCATGCCAGCATCCCACATCAGAGTGCCAGTTTGAGTCTCACTGGTGTACTTTTGATCCAGCTCCCTGCTCCCTGCTAACGCTCCTGGGAAGCAGAGGGTGGCCCAAGTGCTTGGACCCCTGTCCCATGTGGGACACCCGGATGGATTCCAGGCTCCTGTTTCCAATCTGGCTGAGCCCTGGATGTCACAGGTATTTGAGGGAGTAAGCCAACAAGTGGAATCTCGCTCTCGCTCTCTCTGCTGCTCTTTCAAATAAATAAATTTGAAAAGATAACACATTTCAGGTCTTGATGGCTCTCCCACTGCTTTCCTGATACAAACTGCCTCCTCCACATGGGCTTGCTCGTTGCTCTTGGCCAACCTAGCCCTGCTCCTGGCTCCTGCCATCAATGTCCAGTCCCTAGCTGACTGGGTCTCTCCAAGTCCCACGGCCTCTCCTTCCTAACACATCCAAGGCCCCTCTCTCATGGGTGCCTGCCCCCTCCCTCAACTCAGGTAGGGAGCACCCATGCACTGCTCTGCACCCCAAATCCATCACTGTGTCAAGGTGAACTGTGGGTGTGTTATGAATGGATTCAAGACACACCGCCCCAAAATATGGCACCTAGTATATTGAACCTTTTAAGCTGAAGGCATTTGAGAAATAGCAGATGTAGGAAGGACTCTCTGAGCCCCCCTGGAAGCAGGTCCTGAGCCCCTCCTGTGAGAGGCGCTGACTCTACATCCAGAGGAAATGAATCTCCCTGTCTCTGACAATGGACGCACCAGAGGAATCTGCAGGAACAGGACCTGGTAAGGTCCCCCAGTTTACTCAGTGCATACTCTATACACATTTTCCATGCCTTTCCACTTATCATCAAACCTTGTTTAAAAACACTTAGGTTGGGGCCGACGATGTTAAGTGCCGGTTCGAGTCCCAGCTGCTCCACTTCCAATCCAGCTTCCTTGCTATTACACCTGAGAAAGCCGCAGAAGATGGCCCAAGTGCTTGGACCCCTGCATCCATGTGGGACATCTGATTAGAGTTCCAAGCTTCTTTCTTCTACCTGGCCCATCCCCAACCATGGTGGCCATTTGGGGAGTGAACCAGCAGATAGAAGACCTCTCTCTCTTTATGTAACTCTGCCTTTCAAATAAATAATAAAAATTTTTTAAAAAGCTCAGATTTATGAAAGCTTCATGAAAGTTCCTGTACCATGTAAAACTTAGGTTAAATAAATGTCTTGCTTTTCTCTATTAATCTGCTACAGAGATGCAGCCAAGAACCTGGATGGGGAAGAGAAAGATACTTTTGCGTCCCCTACAGTGGCCTTCATAGAGCTCCTATGCTTTACAGGAATAATATTTGTAAGGCTGCCACAGTATGGGATCTGTGAATGTTCCAGAGCTTCTGAAATCAAAGGCATGATTACAAGGCAAGAATGTGATTTTTAAACTTTCTAAAAGGTCCCTCGGGTTTCACAGGGCAGGAGGGGACCACACCTCAATGGCTAACAGTGAATCTATAATCATCTCGGCTAAAAAACACACACACACACACACATACACACACAGAGCATCATGTAGAACAGTAACTATAGCAACCATGTGAAGAGCCTGTGTTTCGGTATTCAGCACTGTCTTACGCATGTCAGTCACCTCCTGTCAGTAATGTGGGGTCGCAAGTCCCAACATGACGAGGTGCGACCCTGGCTCATTCCCCGGCACCATCACTTACCAGCAACACAAGCCTGGACCCACTCAGAAGCCTTTCAGCCTCAGTTTCCCCAACTGTAAAATGCAATAAACAGCTCCCTTCCTGGGGTTGTTGTGACAATGAAATGAGACAATTAAAGTATGAAAAACTCTGATAATGCAGTGCCTGGCGTGAAGTCAGCACACAATAAATTGGTAGCTCTTATTATAATAACTAATTGCTGCACTGCTGATTTGAAAAGATAAATATAGAATTGAAACTGTGGCAGGCGGCAGGAAAGCTGGGCTGAGAGAGAGGGAACTTTGTCAGACTGATGATTTGATGGTTCCAACAAGGCCTCTTAAAACATCCATTTATTTTGGTTGCAAGTTGAGTGTTGTCCATGTTGATAATTGCTAGGAATAATTAAGGAACAATGGTTCCCACTGACATTCTTATAGCACTGTGTGACTGGCTAAATACATCTTTTTATAACCCTTTCTGTGTTAAGACACCCAAAACTTAAACTCCTAACATTGTATAACTAAGTTGGCAAAGCAATGTAATTACACAAAGTAATAAACAAGACGGTAATAACTCTTAGTGTCATTAAATACTGAAGTCATCATGGGAAGAAATGACATTTGCATCTTGGCTGAATTTTTTAACATTGTTATCAGGGTATAATATTCATATGGAACTATGCGCAAAGCATAAAAGAAGAGCTTGGTGAGTTTTCACAGAGAATATACTCACGTAACCAACACACAGATCAAAAACATCACCCATGTTTCAGAAGCCCCCTCATCCTGTTTCCTGACTAATTTTTCCTCTTTTTCTTCTCTTCCTCCTCCCCTCCTCTTCCCCTTCCTCCTCTTCCTTCTCCTTCCCTTCTTTCCTTTCTGTGACATAATTTACAAACCATAAGATGTAGCCATTGTAAATACAATTTGGAAGTGTTTTCCAAATGTATACAACTGTGTAACCATCACCAACATCCGGCTTTTAGATTCCTTCTCTCTCTCACAAGTCTTCAAGGTCAGTCCTGTTGAAGGACCATCCCTACTCCCGTCCTTAGCCTCTGACAACCACTAAACTATCTGCCTTCTGTCTCTGGAGTTTTGCCTTTGCTAAGATTTTCATTTAAGTGGAAGCATAGTGGACATGCAATAACAGTCTTTTGTATAATGACTTTTTCTCATCATAAAATATGTAGATACAACCATGGCTAGATTAGAGCTTCCCAAGTGTGACACGTGAAATAACTTTAGGTGGAATACAGACAACTATTTGTTAGCTTAGTTGTGTATTTTTGAGAAATACATAAAATAACTAACACATGAGCCCATGTCACAGATACTATTGCTTAGGTCTAGAATAAATTTAAAAACCAAGACAATGTAAAGAAATATATTAATAATAATAGACAGTATGCAGATAATGAAAAAAAAAACCATAAAGGTGTAAGCAAATGACTGAAGTCAGTAAAACAGGCACTTAGATTAAGAGAAAGAATTTCTGTGAACCCTGAAATTCTTAGCATAGCCATCGATATATAGCCTTTAAAAAAATAATCGGGGCCAGTGCTGTGGCATAGTGGGTGCAGCCGCTGCCCTGCAGTGCCAGCATCTCATATGGGTGCCGGTTCTAGTCCCAGCTGCTCCACTTCTGATCCAGCTCTCTGCTACAGCCTGGGAAAGAAGTAGAAGATGGCCCAAGTGCTTGGACCCCTGCACCCATGTGGGAGACCCGGAGGAAACTTCTGGCTCTTGGTTTCAGATCGGTCCAGCTCTGGCCATTGCAGCTATCTGGGGAGTGAAGCAGGGGATGGAAGACCTCACTCTCTCTCTGCCTCTGCCTCTCTGTAGCTCTGCCTTTGAAATAGATAAATAAAATCTTAAATAATAATAATAATCACGGGTGGGCTTTTGGCCTAATAGTTAAGACACTGGTTAAGATGCCCACACTCCCTAACAGAGTGCCTAGGTCTATTAACACAGACCCTGGGAGGCTGTGGTGATGACGCCGGTATCTGGATTTCCACCACCAACTTGGGGGGGATCTAGACTGAGTGCCTGGCTTCAGCCCTCCCCCAGCTCAGACCACTGTGCACATTTGTGGAAGTGAACCATCAGATAGGAATCTGTCTCTCCCTACTTCTCAAATAAGTGAATTAAAATTCTTAAAATAAATAAATAACAATCAGAATTGTAAGGCCACTGAGGTATTTTCTTGACCATTTCAACACTTTTTAATTGCGTGCCTTCTATGAGCTGGGGGCTAGGTAAATGTTCATTTAGAGATTCAACTCAAACTGCCTTTTGCATTTACATGATCAGTGTCTATAAAAGGAAGTTCAAATTGAATCGGAAAGTGTGGAGGTTCAAGGGCATGATAAGGTGCTGGGCTGCTCCTTCTTCAACCCCAGGCAATGAAGGGGTGCAGGGGTGTGCAGGACACAGGCCTGGCTATCAGAGAGTTAGCGAAGAGGCTGATGAGAAAAGATACAAACAAGGTGAGAAATGACAGTAAAACAGTAACAGTCCCCAAGGGACACAAGACCCACAGCAGTGGGCACTTAGGTATCTATGTGTAGAGGCTGCCACAAAGGCTTTGGGCTGAAAAAAGAAGCAGAATTCAGCAAGGACAGAGAATGTATGTTTGGATAATGAGGGATTTGGCTCAAGGGAGGGTAGAATTTAGGCAGGCAGAGAAGAGAAGAGGACATTCTAACAAAATCAGAAGCAAAGAAAAGCATTTTCCAGGGCCAATGAGCTGACCTACTGACTAGTGCAGTGTTGGAAAGGGTGAAAGGCTGGTGACAGGACTAGAAGGGCTGATTGCAATGCTGACCACCCATGAACAACTGAGAACTGGAGAGTATTAAAAAAAGAGAGAGAGAGAGAAGTGCTCAGAATGTTTAGGCTGCCTCAATGCTTTGCGGAATGTATTAGAGGATGGGTGGGTGGATCAATGTGCGGATAGATGAATGAATGAATGCATGGATGCTGGAAAGCAGGAAGGGAGGCAGGATGTTAGTATCCCACATCTGTCTTTGTGGTCCAAGGCCTAAAATTAAAATTCAAAGTTACCTGCTGCCTTGACAACTGGTACAACTGGGAGGGCGTCTAATAGCCTAACCCCAAGTTTTCCTCTCCGTCCTACTCCTGTGGACAAAGTCTCCTAGCCAGACAACCTTTCTTATCACTGGACCAGGCACAGTTCCTGCTCATTCCCGAGAAGCAGATGACCCTTCCGGCCAGCCCACAGAATCATTCCCATAAGCCAGTCACTTCCTCCTGCAGGAACCAAGGGGCACCTCATCCTCTTGCTACTGCAAAGTCTGCCTCCCACAGCCCCTGGTTGGGCACTTGCAGCTAAGTGCCACTCACAGGTGGCTTTGTGTGGCATGTGGTATCCACCTCCCCTGAGCTATAAGTACACGTGACTAATAAACCAGCCAGTATCAGATGTGATGTTTTGTCATCCCCAAAACCCTAAGTAGGAATCCTTTCCTCACTAACAGAGTGATGAGGAGGCAATCAAAATAATCCTCCCCAGGGCGGGCGCTGTGGTGCAGCAGGTTAAGCCACTCCTTGGGATGCCCAAATCCCCTCTCTCAGTGCCAGCTGGAGTCTACAAACATCGAGCTGGGGTGAAAGGGAGAGCTGGCTTCAGGGCTAGATCATGCTGACAGCTATTAATTCACCCTGTTGTGACTTTCTATGTTTTCCTTTCCTCCTTCCTCCCAATCAAAAAAGGAGTGACTCTGAGGATGTCTGCAACCTGGAGACCTATGGAAGGTGGTACCAGCAGCCTCTGAGGAACCTCACAAAAGGCCCCAAGATGGCAGGAAAGCAGCAGAGGATCTGGAGCCGTGGGGGCCATGGAAGCAGGGCCAAGTGCGCACTGAGAGCCCACAGCCAACATCACCCTCCTCCCTCGTCTTACCCATCAGGACTGAGGGCCACTCGGCAGCAGTGTGTTGCTGGGCCCAGGAAAGCCTTCCATTAGAGGCCAGTGTGGTAAAGGCTGAGTTCCATAAAAGAAAGCTTTCTCTCTTGTCCACCTAAGTGGGCAGAAGTTCATACCAGCTAGGGCTGGGCTGAAAAACTCCAAGTTGCTTGCTTCTAGGACTTTGGGGGCGGATACAAAGAGCCACAGATCCCAGCAAGGAGTAGGAAAGAAGGTAGAACTGTAGGCAAGACCACAGGTCCTCGGCCAAGAGCAGAGCAGGACAGAGCACACTGACCACGTATGGTCAAGAGGCCTTCAGTGTGGGCTTGAGCAGGAACGAGGGAGGGAAGGAACAAATAAACCCACCTGGCAGAACCCACCCCCTCGCTGCTCACAGCCTTCCACAGCCAACTCATTAAACCAAGGGATGGGGGTTGCAGCTGGGGCTCAGCAATTAAAGCTGTTAGGTTGCGACACCTCTCTGGTTTCAAGCTTCAAGCAGGAAGGCACAAAGCCTGTGAATTTGTGGATTTGACACCAGGGCTTTCAGGGCAAACATCTGACTCACTCTGCCCCCCAGGAGGGGAGAAGCCAGCTCAGGTTTCACTCTTCACCCCCCAAACCCTGCTATGAATGCCAGTTCCTTCCCAGAAGCCCATAGAACAAAGCACATCTCTTCAAATCAGCGTTGACAACCTAAACCTGAGCTG